GCCAGCAAAGGGGGACGGCTGGTCCGACACCAGAGGATCCACACGGGAGAGAAGCCCTTCCACTGCACTGCTTGTGGGCGAAGCTTCAACCAGAGGTCCATCCTCAACCGGCACCAGAAGACCCAGCATCGACAGGAGCCCCCCGTGCAGTGAGGATGCTGCTTGGAGGGTGTCACTCATTTCACTCACTAAAGGGCTTGAGGGTGTGGGGTGTAAAAAGTGCACTAAGGCACTTTCCATCCATTTTCAAGCAGCAGAGAGGAGAAGGCCTACTTAATTTAGTGCTTCCAGAAAGTGCAGCTACTCCCATCTCTTACGCTAGTGGTGGTGCTAACAGTTTTTCTTACCATCTTATAGGGAAATCAAATTCTGAGCTTCAGTTCAAGCTGAGGTTTTTCTCCTGCAGGGAGTGTTCAGACTCACCTCCTGAACAAGTCCAGTAGGAAAGGCAAGATTTTGTTACACATTGGCAACGCAGACCTTCTATTTCTGAGGACCCTATCCTGCCTGCAAAATCATTAGCTCAGACTCTTGGCCCTCCTCCCGCCCACTCTCTATTTAATAGATATTTATTGTGTACCTATTGTGCTCTTGGCATGGAGGTTACAGTGATGAATGAGGTGGATGGAGCTTGAGATGTAGCAGTGGGAGCACACAAAACTGTGACCCCCACAAGTATGCCAAAGTGCTGCATGGCTCCTGCACAGATTGCGTTCCTTCCTCCAACCCCGGCTGCGATCGTCTCTTGGGCAGCCTTGTTAGTTTATTTGTAGCCCCCCTTGTCTCTCATAGTATATTCTACATTCATCTGTAGAATTTCCTCGTCATTGTTCCTCACACTATAGCAAATGTCACCAAATCACCTATTAGGAAATTAATACTTTGCTATTGATCACTAAATAAACATGAGAGTATTTTAAAAAAGAAAAAAACATTCATTTTTGTGAAAAAGTCTAATTAAATGAATCTGAAAGATGAACTGGTATTAATGCCCTATATATGATGGCACTTTACAGTATAGGAAATGCTTTTCTCTATTCTCATTTGATTAATTCTGCAAGTATTTATTGAGGCTCTGCAATGTGCCAGGGACTCTTCTGGCTGCTCAAGATAGGTCAGTGAATAAAAGAGGGGGAAAATAATCCCTGACCTTGTGGCACTTACAGTCTAGTGAATGTACTTGATCTTAAGAACCACCCAAAGTGGAACCCATTGATACTCCCATGAATTCTCTGGGCCTGGGATCTGAACCTTGTATTCTTGGGTCATATCAGCTTCTTGCCCTGACGTGCATTTTTCACCTACCTCTTGTTAATGATCTCTGTTCTTGGTGCATCCAGATTTTTGTCGTCCAGACACTCAGAGACCTGGATGCTAGCTGGAGATGATGAGGCAGTGGTAGTGACCAGTGTTCATGAGTGACAATTCAAGGAAAATAAAGATGTTTCTAGGCATTTAAAAAAAAATGCATTTCTTTAAAGATGAGATGCAGTATTTTAAATTGTGTTTGAGCTCTCTTATGTTGACATCACTAAAGGTATTCTCTCTTTTAAAGTTCTGGAAGCTGTGTACCTAGCATGGACTACACTGCTGCATGATTATAGTGCTGTGCCTTGAGCACTGGCTGCTGAGTTAGTCTGTATTTGGGGACAGTGCACTAAAATTGTGAGCTGTGGTTTGTCTGTGTCATGATGCCTCTTGATATATTCTTTGAGTTTTCTTCCCCCACTTGCCATTGTAAATAAGATAAAAGGTTATGACTAACATGCATTACTGAATCCACTTTGAAACATGATTTTTATCACCTATTTCTTTGTAGGCAGTTGTTGGATTTAGCAAATGACCCTCCTGGTCTTCCAGGCCCATCAGCTGTGTCCATGAAGCTGCACCAAAGAGGGCCTAAGTATAACCTGAGACCCCCTTCCGGCACTACTGCTCCTCGGCAATGCTGAGATCCTTTTGCAAAATTGCCTCTAATTTCCCAGTTCTCAGACTGGCAAGACTGTGGGCCCCTGCCATTCAAGCCCAACGTGAGGCTTCTGGTTTGCTGGATCTGGACTGACAGCCTCAGTGTGGCCTTCTTTGAGAAGTCTGGATTACAAAGCTGGCAAGGGGCCATGGGAATCACCATGGCCTGGGAACCATTTACTAACTTTCTGCCTCTTTACCTGGATTAAATTGTCAGTTTATTTTGATCATATACCTAACCAACCAGGTCTCTGGATTTCCAGTAAGTTCGAATCTCAAGAAACTTCAGTAGGAGCCAGGCCTCCCAGTATTTTTCATTTGGGTGTTTTGTGTGCTTTGAGGCCAAAGTTTATGAATAGTTTCTCACAAAAACATCCATTAAAAGGGAATTTTTTCCTATGAAATTGTAGTAGCCTTATTTTTGATACCTAAATGTCAACAAATACTGTATTTTTCTAACTCTTTAGAAATTTTGTAATAGAAAATTTCAAACCTACATAAATGGATCCCATGTATTCATTTGACTTTATTAGAAACTTACTTCATCTCTATCCACTCCTTCCTCATTCCCCCTCCCCACTGAAGTGTTTTGAAGCTTGTCCCAATGTTGTTTATAAATATTTCAGTGTGTACTTCATAAAAGGTAAGGACTCTTTTTGCCCCCAAAGAATTATTTACCTAATTTTATTAGTTATTACTATTATTTAAAATTTGCTATAGGGCATGTGTACCCACAAGGCAGAGAGAGAGAGAAAGCAGGCAGCCAGGTCTGGGACTTGAACCATGAGTTGGTCATGTGGGAATCCAGTGCCTTAATCACCATGCCGTCTGCTGGTCCTGATAAGGCCTCATTAAAAAAAAAAAAAAAGGACCAATAGATGGCATCATGATTATGTTGCTGGACTCCCACGTAGTTGACTGTAGTTTGAGTTCTGGACCCGGTGGCTTAAAACTCAATGCCAGGCATATGTGCAATGTGTGCCCAAGATCCTGAAAGGAGAATAGGGGAGAAGGGATTGCGGCATGGCCATCTCTCCTGGGAGGAGTGATTTCTCACTTTCTGTCTCTAGTGAACACATACTCCCTATAGCAAAAATCTCTCTCTCAAAAAAAAAAAAAAAGTTTAAAAAAAAAAAGAAACTTGAGGCCAGCAGGTGGCATGATGGTTGAGGTGCTGGACTCCCACATGGCTGACTGTGGTTTGAGTCCTGAACCTGGTGGCTTGTTTTCTCACTTTCTCTCTCTGTCTGTCTGTCTCACTGGTGAGCACTCATGCCCTATAGAAAATTAAAAAAAAAAAAAAAGTAATTTAAAAGACTGGATTATTTATCTTACATTGTATGCTTATGACATTATTTAACAGATTTCTCTGTTCTCTGTATTAACTAAGTCCTTACAGGTAATCAGATTTGTATTTCACATTTTTAAAAACTTTATTTATTTATTTAAATTTGATCAGGGAGGGACAGAGCCAGAGAGAGGGAAGTGAGAAAGCAAGCTGCCAGGTCCAGGACTCGAACCATGGTTGGCCATGTGGGAGTCCACCCTTAACCACCATGTCACCTGCCAGCCCCATGTATTTCACATTAAAAAATATATATATTTTTAATTTGACCAGAGAGAGAAAGTGAGAAAGCAGGCCACCAGGTCTGGGACTCAGACCATAGTTGGCCATGTGAGAATCCAGTGCTTTTAACACCATGCCACCTGCTGGCCCCCATATTTCACATTTTGACAAGAATGTGTTATAGATGAGATCACATATGGTGGTTTCTCTGCAGTATTAGGAGTCTGTATTCATTCATTTAATTCTATAAGTGACTCATCATTTAGTAGCTGGTGTACTTCACTAAGAAATTTCCCCCCATTAACTATAGGTTTACTTTAGATACAGTTAAACAGGAAAGGCAGGATAAATGCTTGATCTGCCCTTTTATTTACCTCTTTTTACAAGAATAAACTGGTTACTTGGCTTCCTATAAAGTGATAAGTTATTGTTTTTATAATCATGGTAACAACCATACCCAGTACTGTACTTTGCTCACTGGTAAGAGAGAAGCTGTAAAATAGTTTAGGCTTGCCTTGCTCCCCACTCTCATCTCCTATGTGTTCAGGCATGCTGTAGAGATGGGTGATTGAATCCCAAGTGAAGGCTCCAGCAAGATATAGGAGTAGACTAGGACTAATTAAGGGCCAGGCTGGAAGGAAGGGAGCTTCATCCCTGGATGCTGACTCTAGACATTGTGCTGTTTGTAAAATGTGCACCAATCAACTCCTTGGGGTCTAAGATAAGCAATTCTTACTCTTTGGATGGGGGCCAGGAGTTAAAAAAGGGAAGTTATTAAGGCAAAATCATGAAGAGAAAGATCGTTACGTGTTCTTCATTATGTGCTGTTGTCATTGTCATCCCCATCATCATTTATAGCGGCTTACCTTTACTGAGTCATCCTTTTGTGATCCTTCCATGGATGGGTTTTTCGTTTTTGTTTTCTAATTTGCTAGAGGGTGCATGTGTTTGCTGGAGGGAGGGAGGGAGAAAGAAAATGAGGACACCCTCAGGGGGGGATGGTCATGCCACAGTCCCTTCACTTTTCCTTTCAGGTTTTTGGGCACAATATGCACATGTGTTTGGTGTGTTTTTCAAGCCACTGGGTCTGAACAACGTAGTCAGCTGTGGGATCCAGTGTCCTCTACCACCACACCAGCGACTGACCCAGTGCAATTTTTTAAAGTTTATTTATTCAAAGAGAGAAATAGATAATAGAGAAACCTCAAATAGGGTTTTTATGCCATGATCCACTCCCAGCCCCACCCAATAGCTTCCATTATTGGTCTCACTGGTAAAAGGTAAGCTAGAAATGTACATGCCCAGTGCCTCAAGGAGGTCTGTGGATGTGAACCTGGAATTTTTTTTTTTGAAGAGGTTTATTTCTTAGGGCACGTGTGCTTGCCAGAAAGACAGAGACAGTGAGAGAGAGAGTGAGAAATCATTCCACGCCCCCTCTGCCCCCCAAAGATGGCTATGCTGCAATCCCTTCTCCATTCTCCTGGGATCTTGGGCATGCACATACACATGCCTAGTGTAATCTTCAAGTCACTGGGTCTGGGACCAAACCTCAGTTGGCCATGTGGGAGTCCAGCGACATAACCATCTACTGGCCTTGTGAACCTGGAACTTCCCATGTGGGTCAGGATTGCAAAACTTTAGCAGCTTTGTGCTTTACTGCTGTGCCACCATCCAGTCTGCAGGGGTTATTAAAATGAATAGGATCTTTTGTAGTCTAGGGTAGAATTTGGGGTGAACATAAGTAATGTAAAGCAGAGCATAAAAAGGGCTGGAATTAAATTTTGAGTTTTATGGTGCTCTAGAATGAAAAGGATGTGCTCTTTTGACTTGAGACACTTGAGGTGGTTTCACGAAGGATGTGGTATTTGGTTTGAGTGTTGAAGGACAAGTAGGATTTTATAGATAGAAATGGGCAAGATGGGCCTGCTGGAACAGCATTAGAGGAGACAGTGCTGGCAGAACAATGACTTTCAGATGGGCTAGGTAATTGGAGGCTTGTCTTTGGCACAGGCTCTCAGCACAGGTCATGAGTTCCTATGAGTTCATCATGTTTACATGGAATGTATAACCTTTTCAACCTTCTCAAAAGATCTGCAGATAAATCTTTTGATGTGGTTCTATGTCTTTGGGAAAAAGTTTATTCCCCTCTTGGTTGTCTGGAAATACCCTGTATAGGGGACAAGAAATTTATCAGACTTGCAAATTACCTATTGGTGTAAAGAGGAATTTCATTCCCTCAGCCATGGTGACAATTTCAGACAAGATCTGTATTTTTCCTCCCTGTCTGTGAGGCCTGTGCCTGGAGTGCTTTCCCTTCCCAGTGCAAAGGCCCCAAGGAGAAACTGTTGTGTCATAGCCCATGGGATAAACCCTTCAAGCTGAACAGTTTCCTGAGAGCTCCTTTCATGTCGTTGTTTCTCAGGCAGTAGATGAAGGGATTCAGCATTGGAGTCACCACCATGTACATCACTGATGCCAGTGAATCCTTGTCAGCAGAGTGGGAGGATGGGGGACTCAGATAGACTCCTGTGATGGTCCCATAGAAGAGGATGACTACAGTGAGGTGGGAGCCACAGGTGGAAAAGGCTTTTTGTTTACCCCGAGCAGATGGGACCTTGAGCACAGCACACACAATGTGTATATAGGAGATGAGAATGCCAAGAAAGGGAATGAGGACAATCAAGCCTCCCACCAGCAGAATCATGAGCTGGTTGAGCTGGGTGTTGGAACAGGAGAGCTGGAGCAGAGGAACAAGGTCACAGAAGAAGTAAGGGATGATATTACTGGCACAGAACTCCAGCCGAGCCATGAGGAGGGTATGCAGCAGGGAGTGAAGACTGGCAATGAGCCAAGAAGCCCCCAGCATCAGACCACAGACTTGCAGACTCATCATGGTGGAGTAATGGAGGGGATGGCAAATGGCCACATAGCGGTCATATGCCATTGCTGTCAGGAGGAAGTTGTCCATGTTTGCGAGTAGAATGCAGAAGTAGATCTGGGTTAGGCAGCCACCATAGGAAATGGACTGAGTCTGTGTCTGAATGTTCACAAGCATCTTGGGGACTGTGGCTGAGATGAAACAGAAATCCACCAGGGAGAGGTTGCTGAGGAAGAAATACATTGGTGTGTGGAGATGGGAGTCTGAGCCAATGGCCAGGATGATGAGCAAGTTCCCTGTGGCGCCGACCAAGTACATGATAAAGAAGAGCCCAAAGATGAGCTCCTGCCTCTCTGGTCGGTTGGAGAGCCCAAGGAGGATGAACTCGGAGGCACTTGTGTGGTTTCCTGTCTCCATGGTCAAATGGTCCTGCTG